CGACAATATTGGCCACATTATAAAGAGAGACGATAGTGCAAAAATGTAGGATGTACAAAAGTAATACTATTTATTTATGTAAAAAGTGTAGAATGCATCTACACTCCGAATATTTCGAAAATTTTTACCTCAAAATTTAATTTACGTTTAAGATACAATATGTTCCTTTATTAAAAATTGTACTGTTTTCCTTAAAAATTAGAAAAAAAATCTTTTTGGTTGTAATTTATTCCTAATTTGTGTTTTTAATCCAATCTAATAAATTAATTGTCAAATTTCTCTTTGTATATTGAGCGGCCGTTAAGGTTTAATACTATATAAAGAATAAACTGGCCTCAAATTTACTTTACTTACCTCAAAACTATTTTAAAATTAATAATAAAGTATATTTAATAAATATATTCCCAATAATACACTACGCCTATGTACATATATGTAAAATCTGGAAGATATCATATTTCATAAACTTCAATAAACTAAGATATCATATTTCTCTAATTAACATTCTCTCTAAAAACGTAAAATATATATAGACCAGCAAAATATTGATAATTTTACCGATGTTCCAAAGTATTCTATGAAATTGTCTCACTATACACTCGTGAATCGCATCAATTTATATTGTTACGAGGGCAAATTTATCTTAGATGGGTTACAAATTTACATATTTACATGGGCGAAGCATACACAATAAAAATGACCCCGGTAAGAATTTACTAATGAAATTTTGCATGGTTGCCGCTACCGTTTAGTTCAATTTGTAGATTAGTCACCTTTAATCGAAAATTGTCCGACTATAATAGAAATGGACACGTTACTTTCTTGTTCTAAAAGCATTTTTCAGACAAAAGAATCAACAAAATCTAAGCGCACAGAAAAATTTTAAGGGGGGTGTGCAGCTCTAAATCCCCCTAAACTTTTGAGTACGTTCAAATCAAATGAATTTTGTGACATCATTAGTTTAACACATTATTTATGTGTTTAACACATTATTTAAACTAGTTTTTTACTAGTTGGCCATAAAATTACAATTAGTTTTCTACTACAATAATTACAGACGTTTCCATCAATAATATTCAATGATTTAAAGTTATCATTTATTGTGTGAATAAGATTAATATTAAAAATTTTGATATTACAATGACCTACGCATTTCAGGAAATGTCAGATATGCATTTAACTTTTGGTAAGTTTAATCAGATTAAATTATGATTTCAATAAACTATCGGGAATATCGTAGGTGAATGTCAAGGAAACAGTGCAGCAGCCGCAAGGCGTTATACAGTAAAATACCCTAATCGAAATACACCCGATAGAGGATTATTTCTGACCATTGATCGTCGTTTACGGAAAAGGGGTACATTCCAACTGCAAGTTGCTGGCAATAGTGGTGATCCAATAATGGATGCAACTGATTAAGACATTTTAGAAATCATTGAAAAAGTCCCTGGAACAAGTACAAGGGTAATAGCTGCTCAACTAAATGTTTCTCCCGTAAGGGTTTGGAGGCGTTTGAAGGATCAGCTGTTTAAACCCTATCACTTAATAACGGTTCAAGAGTTATAGGTTGAAGATTATCTTAAAAGGATTGGATTTTGCGATTGGTTGTTAATGGAAAACACTCGAAATGTTAATTTTATTAGAAATATTTTGTTTACCGATGAGGCTACCTTCAGTAGAAATGGAATAACAAACCATCATAATGAGCACATTTGGGCCGACCAAAATCCTCACGCCAAAAACGACTCATCACCAAAGGACTTTCAGTCAAAGTCAATGTTTGGGCAGGAATTGTGGATAACAATCTAATAGGCCCGGTATTTCTTCCCAACAATTTAAATGGTGATAATTATTTGCAATTCTTGGAAGAGTATTTGAAAGAAGTGAATATTGCAATAAGGCAAAATATATGGTTTCTACAAGATGGCGCTCCACAAAACAAAACGAAAAGTAACACGTACCGTTACACATTGTCTTAAACAAAGCTTTCTCTGTGGCTTAAAAATTCTTGATTTTTTGTAGGGTCAATAATTTTAGAATTTTACACAAAAGGGAAAAAGTTTACAAAAAATGCAGCTCTACCAACGGTAATTTTTTATAAAATAAATTATCGAACAACGAAGAAATTTGAACCTTGAAACTAAAATATGTACAGAAATGTAGTCAAAAATAATTGTTAAAATACTGCCTAATCAAACTTTTCATATTTAAGAAGAATTTAGCAACTTTTGTAAATAAAATAGTTTTTTAATTAAATATTACTTTTATAAACGTTTAGGTATGTACATATCGTTATAGAAAACAACTACTGAAATTTCTATTTACTCAATCCATTTATAATGGATTATAAATGTGTTGTTATGTTATTAAACCCAATAACATAACAATAATAACAAAACAAAAACATATCAAATTAAAAAAGGAAACAAATTTTGCCGTGTACAAAATTTTGTATCGGGATAGCAGAAAATATCTTGCCCGACAAATATGGACTCATGCGTATATATTTATTTATTGGCCACAGAGTTTTTTAAATAACCTTTAATTAAAAGGAGATTATCTTAAAACCACTCGAATCACATGCCGTATAGTTTATCACTTCAAACAACTGAAATTTCAAACAATGTTTACATTTTTTTGCCCACTTTTTGGTGTCCACCTAGCGGACAACACACGACCTAAAATTTAAAAAACGACTGAACTTTCAAACGTTTACATTTTTTTGTCCCTTGCATAGATAAGAAGGTTAGGTTAGGTTAGGTTCACTCCTCTAATCTATGGGTTAGGTAGGTTAGGTTAGGTCCATCGAGCAAAAAGATAAAAGAGGGAATCTAATCGTTATGAAAAGGAGACCAAAAAAGTGGCCTCTGATGGCGGGCATATCCGGAAATTGCAAAGGCGCTAAATTTAAATTTTCAACACTTGTTAACAATAGCTGTAAAATATTTTTCAGACAAGAAACTTTTAATTAAATATTAACGATAATAGTCTAAAAAGTGACACAATTGGTAAAAAACTTCAATATAAATAAAATTTCATGTGACAGTTGGGACAAACAATAACATAACCAAACTAAATTTGACTTATTAAAACAAGAAAAGAGACTGTCTATCCTTGTTTAAAGTGGCCTCTCAAGATAGCACTTCCTGTCTAACAATATTTTTGTCCCCACTACCTTTACATTCCCTCTTTTATCTTTTTGCTCGATGGTTAGGTCCCTTGTTGGGGTGTTCATCTGCGCACTAAAATTAAAATCGGCTTCACTTATTGTGTTTATATTATAGCTTATAATATGGTTTATTATTACCATTGATTATTATTACCGTTGATTGAAATATTAGATCTATATCCCGTATAATATTTTAATCAACGTTATTACTACATCTACGGTTGGTCCCATCGATATGTCCCATCGATTTTCTGTTCTTTGTGTGACTTTTAGGATTCCCTACAGATTTCTTATGTACCGGCCCGTTACAGTTTCCTTTTCTGAAGGTTTTACTTGTCTAGCAATTACTGTACGGATGCTGCCGGTTACAGTTTCCTTTACTGACGTTTTGCTTGTTTAGAAATTATTGTACAGAGGGCGCAACATTTTAATTTATTAAATTGGGACAAAAATGTATCAAAATGATTTATAAAATAAATTATGTTTTACCTTTTTATATATAAATTATTACAATTATAATATATTATATAGATATAATATATAAAGAGATAAAGCATAAATTATTTTATAAATCATTTGGTACATTTTTGTCCCAATATTAAATTTAATAATTAAAATAACTATATAAAATTGTACTTTCTTTGTTTTTAAACTCCCCCTTCATATGTAGTGTGATGTGGAGGAAGAATACTACAATATGTTTGTTTACAATATATATATATATATATATATAATATATATATATATATATATATATATATGTACCTACCTTATATATGTACACAATGTTCCTCTGATTTTTTTAAAACATTAAGTTGTATTTAATATAGACATATCTTTTTCTCTTTAACTCACTATAGAAATTATTTTAAAAAATTTACTTATAAAATATATCTATTATACCTCTCTCTTTCTCTGTCATCGGAAGTAAACCAAGAATATCCACTTTGTCATTTAAAATGATCTTCTGAAAGATTTTGTGCCATTTTAACACGCCTTCTTATTCTAGGACCGTTTCTACCGTTACATAATAGCATTTCTGGCACCAATCTTTTACATCTCAGCAAAAATTGATCCAGTAAAATCTCTCTCGAATTCTGGCCAGTGTTCTTTTGACTCCAAAATGTGCTCCAGAAAGGTTTCTATGAAGTTCTTGCATACGGCGCCAATACCATGCTGAGATGTGATACAATACAATAGAAATTTTCCATCTTCCCGTGGATAAACTAATAGTTACGATAAATAATGAATCATATCTAAACTGTAAATATCCTTTTTCATTCGAGTATTTTGTAGTAAGGAGATCCACGGGTCCGACTGCTTTCGATGAAATTCCATTCTATTCGAGAAGGTCATCGTCCGCTAGAGGGGACTCCGGAACTAGCGGTTGTTTTGTATATATATATGGAGGATTTTTATTTGAAAACGAGTGTGAATATTGTGAAATTAGACTTAGAGATAGATCAGACAGAAAATCTTTAGATGCTGAGGGTATGCCAAATGCAATAATCTGTTAATACTGGTTTCAAATTCTTGCAGTCTTTTTTTATGTTTTCGATATCAAACTTTCAGCCGACTTTGAAAAATATGCCTTAGCTGTTACTGGCCATATCTTGTTTCTACAGCTTGAAAGAGAGAAGTTGCTACCTGTCCTCGAAGATGACTTTCTCGTGGCATTGAATAAAATAAATGTAACAAATATAGCTTCATATTATTTTTATTGTTTAAATTTTATAATTACAAAATGATAAAAAAATTACCACCCAAATTACCTAATATTTTGCCTAAAAATAACCCCTTAAATATTTCTTTCTAAACCAGTTCTTCATCACTACTTTGTTATTGATCTAGTTAGATCAATCACGAACTGTTTATCGTCTTTTCTTCCTCTTAAACCGAATACAAAGTTTGATGGAGTTGGAACGTTTGTGAATTTATCGACATGGGTTTGAGTGTCTTGTTCTTTCGATATAACAGTTGTAGTTCTTATCGAGTTAGTGCTGTGCGATTTTACAGTCTGAGTAGAGGTTGTCTTGCATTTTGTAAGGTTGCACTAAAAATGAAGTAACTGATAGTAAATGCTAATAGAGTAAATGGTATTACATCGAGCACGAAACATCAAGTAAATGGAACTCCGCAAGGATCAGTTATCAGTGCAACACTTTTTCTGAAGTCAATAAACAAAATATTAAAACATCTACAAGCTGGCGATTTGGTTTTAAATATAAAGGGAAAATATATATTCCATACAAAAAAGCCTACAATGTGCACTAAATCATCTAGAAAATTGGTCTAAATATGTGTTATTATAATTCTCTACAACCAACATATTCTTCTTCTTCTTAAAGTGCCCTCTCCACAATGGAGGTTGGCTACTACAATTTCTTCAGATGTTCTTATTAGCTGTTCAAAATTTAGCCCTGTCCATTGTCGGAAGTTTCTGAGCCACCATAGTCTTTTCCTTCCTAGGCCTCTTTTTCCGTTGATTTTTCCTTTCACTATAAGTTGGGCATATTGGTACTTATTATTTCTCAGTATGTGGCCTAGGTATGATATTTTTCTAACTTTTACTGTGTTAAAAAGTTCTCTTTCCTTGCCTATCCTATGCAGCACTTCTTCGTTTGAGGTATGCGATGTCCATGAAATTTTGAGTATTCTCCGGTAGATCCGCATTTCAAAGGCCTCCAATTTATTTATGGTTGGTGTTTTAAGGGTCCACGTTTCAACTGCATATAGAAGAGTCGACCAGACGTAGCATTTTGATAAACGTAGTCGAATTTCAAGTTTTATACGAGAATCACAACCAACCTATAGTGTATATGATTCTTAAAATTCCATTCTCCAACTACAGATCCATAAACAATTTTAAGAATAGTTTTTGATAAAATACTGTCTTGGAAAATGCACATTATGCACATTAATAAATCTTACCATACTGGCATATATAAAATATGCTACCGGCTGCCAAGATGTGAGGGACCAGGCACCTGGCGGAAATTTGTAGCATGTATAAATTCCTTATAACCATCGAATATCCAAAGTATACAATTTATCTCGTACGCCCCTGCACTATGTATAAATTTCAGTATAGAGTTTCAGTTTATATTGTAACGTAAGCGTCTAGAAACATCAAAGAAAAATTCCACTGCGAAGTAAAATAATTCATATTTTGCGTTTTAAAAATTTTCAAATTTAAACACAAGCCATGTTAAGGTTGAATTTCCCTTGTAGCGCGTCTTTTAAAAGAGTTCCGATTGGCTAGTCCCTTTGACTGATTAGAGGGGTGAGACGCAAGCGTGAAAGCTGATACAACGAAGATCGAGGTCAAGTTTTAAGTTGGGTTTGAGATCATGACCCGCAAAGAGGTTATATGTAATCTTCAAAAACAACCGGAAATTTTGTTTGTGAAAAAAGTGAATTATACTCGAATGTAATGTGTCAATTTAAATAAGAGTAATAACTGTTTTGTTTCGATACGCAGTAACGACAATCGCCTTATAAACAATGTGTTCTGGGAAAGGCCAGATGGAAGAAGGTCTGTAGGGCGGCCTAGAAAAGGTGGAAAGACGCAGTCAGAGAAGATCTAGAGAAGATCTAGAGAAGATGGGAGTGCGAAAATGGGAATTACTGGCACAGGACCGACAAACATGGAAGGCAATAGTAAACGCGGCAAAGATTCACAAAGAGTTGTAGCGCCATTGATGATGATGATGATGACTGTTTTGTTTCGTGCCGTCTCTCACCTAAGGGATTTGAAGAACGTCGTTTTAAACAATTTTTAAAGTTATCCACATGGTTCTAGGCAAACTCTTGAGTGTTTTAAAAGTCGAGTTTTGAGGTTTACGTCCCAGTGCCCAGCCTCCACACTCATTTTATTTGTTCCAGGTCATTTCATACTATTTTTGTAGTTTGGAGATACATTTGTTTGTATTGCAGTAAATCTGAGTCCAGTTCCAACCCCAGAAATTTTAAATGAAAAAAAAAAATACCATTTAGTGAAATTCAGGAAGTTTTGTTAAACTTTTAAAGTAAAAATAGATATTTTCCATCAATAATTACTTTCATGAGAAGTTTGAGAAATTATAATAAGTGAAATCATAAATGTTAGGGTGTGGCCTAGCTGTTATATTAATTATTCTCAATGTTTAGAATTTAGTATTGACATATGACAGTTAGCTTTATTTTTGACATTTTTTACATACCCAACCATAAGTTTTGTTTCTTTTTTAAGTTTAACCTTTATGCATAGTTCCATTTAAGAAGATATTTTTCTTTGCGAAAAAACTTCTTTCTGCTACAAAATATTATCATCATTATCATCATCCAGCCGAATTTTCACATCCATTGTTGGATATAGGCCTCCTCCAAACGTCTCCAGTTTTCTCTATCTCTAGCTCCTGCAATCCAGTTTGTTTCTATTCTCCTTAGGTCGTCGGTCCATCGGGTGGGTGGTCTGCCTCCACTTCGCTTGTCGGCTCTTGGTCTCCACTCCAATAATCTCTTCGTCCATCTTCCGTCTTCCATTCTAGCAACATGTCCAGCCCACCTCCACTTTTGTTTATTGATTCGCAGTATATTATCGTCTACGCCAGTTCGTCGGCGTATCTCCTCATTTCTTACGCGATCTTTCAAGGTCAGACCCAGCATTAATCTCTCCATTCGCCTTTGTGTTACCCTCAGTTTTTCGGCAGTAGCTTTCGTTAAAGTTAAGGTCTCTGCTCCGTAGGTCAAGACTGGTAAGATGCATTGGTTAAATGCCTTCCTTTTCAGGTGAATTGGGATATTTGTTTTAAAAATGTCTCTCATCCGTCCATATGCCGCCCATCCCAACATGATTCGTCTATTTAGCTCGCAGGTTTGGTTGTCTCTGGTTATTCTAATTTCATGACCCAAGTATGTGTATTTATCGATTAATTCTACCTTGTTGTTATTGATCTGTATCTCTTAGCTGGGAACCATATTGGTCATCATTTTGGTTTTCTCGAAATTTATCTCCAGCCCAGTTTCTTGTAGTATGTCATTCAGTTCTTGGAGCATGTCTTTGATCTCTCCCAGATTATCTGACAGAAGCACGATATCGTCCGCAAAACGTAGATGGTTTAATCTTTCTCCATCGATGGATATTCCTTTCTGTTGCCATGTTAGTTTTTTAAATGCGTACTCAAGAACGATAATGAACAGCTTTGGTGACATGGTATCACCTTGCCTGACTCCCCTTTTATCTTTATTTTATTAGTTGCAGAATATAGACTTATGGTTGTTGTGGCATTTTCATATATATTTTTAATTATATTACAATATCTGTGGTCGATCCTGCAATCTTGTTGTGCTCTTAAGATGGACGGTAGTTCCACTGTATCAAACGCCTTTTTAAAGTCTACAAATATCAATGCCAAGGGACAGTTATATTCGATAAGGTGTACAAAATATCGCCCATTAACAATTGTAAGTTGGTAGTATCTCCAACTTCTATTTGAGAGATTTGAGATTTGAATCTCTAAAGAGAAATAAATCCTCAGACATTAATTTAAATACCAGGGAAATACTACAGTTAATAGCTAACAAAGGATTACATATCAGGTTTTAAATTCAGGAAAATAACCATCTGATTAGTGTACCACAATTTATATCCTGCTACGCAAAAAAGGACTACCACCAGATGTGAAAACTACCGCACACTGTCACTAATAACACTTGCTAGATACTAGATACTAGTAAAATATTGGTGCATATCATCAAAAACAGATTAAAAACCTATCTACATTACTAAATACCTCAGGAACAAGCGGGGTTTGTAACGGGTAAAAGTACACGGGAACAACTCCTGAATTTGAGACAGCTCATTGAAAAGTCTAGAGAATTTCAAGTACCTATGCTTATATGTTTCGTTGACTACCAAAAGGCATTTGATTATGTAAGCTGGATAAATCTGTGGTCCATTTTAACAGAACTGGGCACACCAATGCACCTGGTGACATTTATTAAAAATTTGCACCAGTCCAATATAGCAATAGTACGACTAGGTCAGAAGTTCTCAAACCAATTCAAGACCGATAGAGGTGTTGAAGACGTATCAGTATTAAATCAGTTTGACCTAGGAAGCGATCATAGACTAATAAGAATAAAACTAATAATTAACAAAAAACTAGAAAGAAAAAGAATACATGAAAAAAGATACAAATGGACATCTGAAGAAATCAAAAATAGTGAATTTAATAAAAAGATAGTGCATGCATTAAATCAAGTTAGCATGCAGCAGATAAATGATATTGATGATTTGAATAACCTTATTACCGAAACAGTGAATAAAAGCCTTCTGCAACTGAAAAAACCAAAAACAACATACAATGAATTAGACAAAGAAATATTACAACAAATAGAAAGAAGGAAGATCTTAAATAGATCTAACAAAAGGGGAACAGACGAATATAGAGAACTTAATAGGCAGATTAGAAAAGGAATCAGACAACAAAAAAGAAAAGAAAACGAAAAATTAATAACAACAACTATTGAAAAAAATAAGAGTATGAAATGCCTCAGACCGACACTAGGACGACGTCAGATGATATCATTAATAGGAAAAGACGAAAATGAAATCACAAGTAGAGAAAACATACTGACACGAATAGAAGAATTTTACACAGAACTTTACAGATCACATCAACAAGATGATGAGATGAGACCAGCACGGAAATTAATAAAAAAAATGTTGGATCAGAAATAATGCCAAAAGTAACAATTTCAGAGGTAACTACATCATTGGAAAACATGAAGAGAAATAAAGCTGCAGGAGAAGATAGTATTACCACAGATATGATATTAGAAGGAGGTAAGGAACTAATTGCAATTGTAACTAAGCTTGTGGACAGTTGTTTACATCAGGGCAAAGTCCCTAAGAGCTGGAACAACTCTAAAGTAATCTTATTACACAAGAAAGGTGATAGTCGAAAATTGGAAAACTACAGACCCATCAGCCTACTGTCACACCTGTTTAAAATACTCACCAAAGTCATAACTACTCGACTAACAAGGAAATTAGACGAATACCAACCA